TTTTTCAAGAGTGGACAAAAAATTATTATTGGACAAATCTGGACAAATTGTGGACAATCTAATGCCATGTAGATTTTGACAAAATTCGCATTTGGGGGTGCCAACTTCACACACCAACAAAATGTTTATAATAAAAATATTACAACACTTATAATGCTTTTAAAATAAAATAATAAAAAATTAATAAAAATTTTAAAAAGTTTAAAAAATTAGTGAATTAAAAAACTAACAAATGTTTTAAATTAAGTAAATATGGAACTAGAAATTCAAGTCCCTCGTTTAACAATAAATTATACTAAGAGCGAGACTTTCGTTAAAAAGTAAAAAAAAAATTTCCTTGAATTTGCCATTCTTAAGTTTCAAATTTTAATTGCAGAAGCAAATTGGCAGCCTAAAAACATTTACGTATCAAATTCCAGTTATATATAAAACACTGCAGTTAAATTTTCTTATTAGCCTCTTCATAAACCTTTCGATACTTCATAAAACCTTTACCTTTTTTTTTATTAATTTTTATAAACCGATACTTTATAAACCTTTACCTTTTTTTATTAATTATCTTTATCTTTTTTTAACTTGGAACAAATTTGCTCCATGTAGAATGAAATTCCTTTTACAGGAGCAACACAATTCCTGCTCCCAATCTGCTACAATTGGCACCTACTGAACGTTATGCCAATTACTATAATATGAATCATTCCAAACGTGGTCTAGCTCTCATCTTCAACCATGAATTTTTCACCGTTCCACATCTTAAAGCTCGTTGTGGTACAAATGTTGATTGTGAAAATTTAATTATCACACTGAAAACACTTGGTTTCGAAGTAAATGACTACCATAATTTGACTCACAAGGATCTAGTAAAACAATTAGAAAAAGGTAAGTTGCACTTTCAACATCGCACATCATAAATTCATCATTTCTTTAACGATCTTTTTGTATTTAAGAGATCAAAAAATACAAGAAACTCTGATGAAAAGATGAAAAACAGCTTAAACTTTTTCAGATTTTATAAGTTTTCTTTAGAAATTATAAAATAAGAAATCTTTGGATATTTTAAAATATATATTTCATCATTCATAAAGAATTGAAAAAATGTAGACTTTCTCAACTTCTTTCTTCTGAAAAGTGTTCCAATTAGTATAAAAAAATCTGAGAAATTTTCTAAAAAGTTATAAAACTATACAAAAATTCTAAAAAATTATATGAATAAGAAAAGTTTTCACCAAGGAAGTGTCAAATATTGTGTCATAAAAAGTATTACGTAGAAGAAATATATAGCAAATTATTGTTTTTTTTTCAGCTTCAGAAATGGATCATTCTGAACACGATTGCTTGGTGGTAGCTGTATTAAGTCATGGCGAACTTGGACTGCTATACGCTCATGATACTGCATACAAAGCAGATTCTCTATGGCATTATTTCACTGCCGATAGGTGCCAGAGTCTTGCTGGCAAACCTAAGCTATTCTTCATACAAGCTTGCCAGGGTGATAAACTGGATCCAGGCGTTAGTCTTAAAGAACGTACTGAAACGGATGGACATCCTTTCCCGACTTTTCGCATTCCTACTCAAGCGGACTTTCTTATTGCCTATTCAACCATTCCAGGTACTGTTATCTGCGTTGTTATCTAAAGATTAAATCATTGTAGAAAACTAATAACAACTCTAAGGATTGTTCAACTTAAATATTAAAAATGATTTTTTTTATTTAATAGGTTATTATTCCTGGAGGAACACCAGCCGTGGATCTTGGTTTATGCAGGCATTATGCAGTGAGTTGAGCGCTAATGGCACTCGTTACGATATATTGACTCTACTGACATTTGTATGCCAACGCGTCGCTTTAGATTTCGAGTCGAACACGCCCGATAACATAGCCATGCATCAGCAGAAACAAATTCCATGCATTACCACTATGCTGACGCGCTTAGTAAAATTTCCACCAAAGAATGGGATTGTATAGCCTGTAGGATAAAGAAAATCATTGTATCGCATTTATGTACCTATTTATGGTACATGGGCCATATCGTTGTTAGCAAAAGGCTTGTTCTTTGTCTCTGTATTGAACTACACTTATAGATGTCTATACTAGATCGCTAACTTGCTACTCAGAGGCCAAAAAGTTGTGTCAAATTGGAAATCCGATTTTCAGCCATTTAACCCAAGAAAGTGGTGGCGACAGTATGTATTAATGCATAGATATCTGTGAATTTCAATTATAGACAATGCTAAAATACTGTTGCATACAAAAGTGCAAAAATAATGTTTTAGTGCGTTATACTAAAGCTTTTCCGCTCTCGCCAAACATTCAAATATACATCTATTTCATTTTAAGAACAATCAGTGCATACTAATTCAGCTACAAAGAACAGACCTAAAGCTGCAAATGGTGCAAGTATCAATTTTATTCATGCGCCACAATTCGGTAATATGATTATCCTGTATTAGATACTATACATAGCATTTTATACTATATTTAATATCATTTTAAAATAATTTTATAAGCTGTTTATGTCCCAGTGAGAGAATTGCATCTATATTAATCACAACAATATGAAATTTTTTTTTTAACAGCAACAGATATACATGAAAGTATTTTTTTTTCTCTTGCTCACGTTATTGTTCCTCCTGTCTCTACCAGGAAAACAGACTGCCAAACTTTTCTTTTTTTACATTTTCAGTTTTCATTCATACATTTCTACATGACAAAAAAACATTATATTGTGTTGTGATAAAAATAGCATTTCTTTTTTTAATATTTAGCATAATTATTTACGATAAGTATCAAAGTATAAAATATCTGAACAAATTTACTTTAAAAAACTTCAGAAGTAGCTACTTTGTTTGTGACATTCTGATTTCATTAAGAATTAAGGTATATATAATTAAGATATTATAATAAGTACAAATACAAAAGTTATCGACTGCAAAAAAATAATGTCACATATAATATTCTCAATCATATTTTTCAACGGTCAATAATGACTGTTTTTTCCAATGTAGATTAACTTTAGTCTTATTGTCAGTTTAACTTTTTATTTTTTTCTAGCTCCAAGAATTAGAAAAAGATAACGAATAAATTAAACCAAAATTAACCTTTAAAAAGCAGGAAGGCTTTTTTTGTAGAGGTAAAAATTTTCTAAAAATTCTCGGACTAATCGGATCTGGAAAGTGTAGAATTCGATACATGCACATCGCAAAATATATTATACGTAATGCTTACTAAAAACCTCCCTGCTCTTGCTCGCCTAGTTGAGAGGTTGATCTGGCTCGCGTGCAGCATACTTTAGGTCAATCTACTTTTAAAATCTTACAGCTTTTCCTTGAGTAAGGTTTATTATAATTCATTGCATTTCTTGCCTCAAAGTATGACTTGTCTCAGCGCCACTATGACTTCCTGTCCTTTAAAGATTAAAGTTAATCTGCATTGATAGAAATGAACATCATATAAATATAAAATATATATGTATAAATACACACACATTATATATATATATATATATACACAAAGATTATAAGCTGTTTTATATGTCCTATTACAGTAGCATTGATGTTACACACATACATACAAATGGGATATTTTTTAATTATCTTATTATATATTATGAATTACACATATACAAATATTATATATAATATGATATAACTGTCCTAATCTTTACGATTATATGTGTATAAACACACATGCATATATTTGCATATATTTTATACCAAATTAGTATAAGCAATGTGTGTATATTTTCTGCAATAAGTAATAGCCTGACATACAAAACAATGTTTAACATTCGATTATATTCGAACATACAATGCATAACTATATGATCTGCCTGAGAAAGTAGTTGTAATTTATCATAAACTGCAACTGCTACGAAAAATATTCGTATGTTACAAAAATATTAAGAAAAAAAAGTAAGAGATACCTATAATTGCATTGTAATTAAACTGTTAAGCTGCGTTATCTTGCCTGCAAATACCGAGATCATCGGATTGTGCGTTGTGTCGCTAGTTTTATGAGCGCAAGGTAGTATAGTATTACTATATAAGGATTTAAGAAGAATGGATCAATTAATAATACGGAGATTGCTGTACTCGCAAGAGAAACGGTAACGAAATTTGCGAAACGTGATACAAAGTCTTTCATAGTAAGAATAATGAAATTTATATGCCTTATACACAATTGTTTGATAAACTATGGTTAACACTATGTAAGACTACTTAGCGTACGCATGACACGTATAACATATATTTAGACATCTATATACAATGGTAGTTTCTGCGAATCGTGTTCTCATTTATTGTTCCTCGTATAAATAAGATATGCAATTTACAAATGTATTTTGCAATGCAAACATCTTATCTGAATGACATTACAAAGTGATTGCTCAAAGATATGAGATGTCATTGCAAGATATAAAGTTGCACAATGCACTGCATTGTGTTGTGATAAGTGTGTGCTAAAAATAGCCACTATGTATGCCACATGAATCTGTTTGGAAATTGCAGTTTTTTGAATCAATAATGTTACCGGAGTATTGAAGCAATTTTGCAGCATCTTTCTATACATAGCTTTAGTGATATTTTGTGTGCTTTGTATCGTATACATATATATATATATATATATATATATATATATATATATATTTGTAATATCTTTCTATACACGAACTTGTATACAAATTTACACAATAAATTGATAAAATATAGCACATGCTATAGTAATATAATTTATTGTTGATCACATTCTAAGTAATTATACATGCAAGGATACTTTTTTAAATATTTTTCTTTGGAACACATAAAAATTTAGATAATTCATTTATTACATGTATATTATAAATTTACAAGTTTTTTATTTTAATAATATATATAATATATTAATATTAATATTAATGTTTACAAAACTAAAATAACTTTTTTCGTCTGAGTTTGAAAATTAAAATCTAACGGTATAAAGTATTTTCATACAAAAGATATGAACTTAAAAAAGTATATAGAACTAGACAATGCTTACTAGTAAACCAAGTTCAATATATATAACTATATACTTATCTAAAAGCTATACTGATTTTTATTTTAATTCGCATTTTTTTACAGCTATTTACAGTTTTTCATTTATAGCATAACATTATATATATATATATATATATATATATATATATAT